AGAGTGTAAGATCACAAACTGGTAAGATTTTCAGCAGACTAGAAATCTAGTAGGTTCCAAAATACTGTTCCCTGTTTTTTAAGTTATGGGTTCCTGAGTCTTGTCCTTGTTGACATTTGTTCCTCAGAAACATGCTATAATAGTCCCAGTGAAAGAAAATAGTTTGAAGCCAGCAAATGAAACTACCATAAACTAATATTAAAGTACCAGGAACCAAAGGTGGGGACTTAACACTGAAAATGTGAGGAATTTAAATAGCAGGAATATATAAAATACTTCATTAATTCTGTTTCAGCTAATTTTTCATCTCAGATTTGATGTTTCATCTCAGATTGAAGTTCTATATTCTCATATGGAATTTTCATTTATATATGTAGATCAAATATCCCTATAAGAATGCAGCACCAAAACCTACTTGTTTACATTGTTCTGCTTTTATTTTGCACATATTTTATTACATATTTTTCCCTTGCTAAAACAAGAAAACTGCTGAAACAAGAACTTGCTTATCTACTAAATCAACATCTTGAAAGTTTTAGGTGGCAAGGTCTGCAGATAGCAGACTGAAGCCAAGACAACATTTTCTTACATTACCACAAAAACTTTTATACTTCCTTTTCTATCAGAGATCTCACAAGATCTCTGTGTTTTCCTGACAAACAGAAGCTGTGCAGCTGTAAGTAAAATGATAATTGGAAAGATAACGTTAGTATTATTCAGGCATCTCTCTCAAAGCAGCTTAGTCATATGCTGTATGGAATAAAAACAGGATTGGCTGAGTAAGGGAATTTACTGTTTCCCAGGAAAGGAAATTGCCTGCAACACATCTGGCAAAACGTTCTAAGTGCTTAGTTTTGACAAAATATATATTTCAGCTCTTCTTATAAGGTGAGCGCTGTAGAGTGGGTATCTTCTTTCTAAAAAGGGAAAGATCCAATTTGTACTTTAAATATACCAAGCCACTATTTGCTATTTTATGTCAAATACTATATACTGAGCTATGAAGCAAGCAGGAGACCACAGGCTAAGCAGTGATATTTGAGTTTGCAGTATAAATGTATCATGAATGCAAACACAACACTCCATATAGGCAGCAGAGATAAAAGATGAAGAGAACCAAGAACATGAGAAAAAACACCGAAAGGAAGCAAGTGGGCTGAACTATAATTTTTTACTCAGTTTCATACTGGCATGTATAAGATTCCATGCCAAATTATTTAAATTCCTTCCTATTTCAACACATCTAACAATGAGATGTTCCTTCTCATAACTGCTGTGAGACACATCTTTGTCATTCAGCTTTTCTGCAATAAGCCCTGCCCTGCAAGCAGACTTGTTATTATGCCTCTGAGGCTCAGTAAAAAGGCTGTATGCAGGCATCTTCCTTCCTCTTCGTTCAGTTTTCAAGGACAAAAATGTATTTAACTTGCCTTACTTTTCACACCAGATTTCTAAATTTAGATATTACTACTTTCTTTCCCCCTGAACTCTGACTGGCTTTGACTCCCTGGGGAGGCAGACAAGACCACTTCCTCCTCCACAGCTGGGAAAGTTGCTCCCAGAGGGATAGAAAGGGTGAAGGTTCTCAATCAAATGCTCAAATAGATGCACCAAACATGGCACTGTCCTGTAGTGAAGGGTTAAAGAGATATATATTTATTTTGCTGGCAAGGTGAACGTTCACTGTCTTTCCTGGGCAGTGGGAAAGAGCGCTTCATTAAAGCAATATGAGTCCATTGGACCCAGATGGGGAAACAGCATAATCCTCTCTGTTATGAGTATGCGTGTGTGTTGGAGGTTATTGCCCCTACAGCCTGGAACTATTGAGGAAAAGCTGGGGAAAACATTACCATGGTGAACCTCGAGGTGTTACTACAAGGGCTAGATGAGAAGCATGGCTGAGCAGCTAACTTGTGGTGCCTGCTGTGCTGGTAAAGGTCTTAGGTTAGTTATTTGTTGTCACTTCTCAGAATTATACCTGCATTTTCCATACCTTTTACCCAAACAGCGGACAGCTGCCATAGCAACTGGCCATTCATTCATTCATTCATTCATTCAAAGAGAGAAAAACGAAAAACAACAAAACAAACCCAACACAAAAAAACAAACCCAGCCAAAAAAACAGTAAAAGGTGAACTAGTTTCTCTTTACAGTATTCATACAGCCACAGTTCTCCCTAGTGGAGGTCCAAGATACAGCAAGCCTTGCTTAGGCAGGCTCCAAGTTCAGTCTTGCTGCTGGCCCCATTAAGACTCAAGGGCCTCCCGGGGTCATGCATTGGACTTTCCTAAAGGAAAACAGACTCTAGTTCAAACCTTTAGAGACACTTGTCTCCCTCAAAACCCAGCAGAACTGAGCGGCCAGATTATGTTGGTGATCTGACTCACTGGTGTGGCATACAGATGGCAAGCTTCATAGTAATTCAGAAACTATTAATTTAGTCAAGCCTTTCATGGATATTCTGTCTAACGAATTCTCAGCATCTTTTAAATCTTTTATTTATGTACAGTCCCTTGAGTAGAAGGGGTAGAAGTCTAATAATTAAAAATAAAACTGCACTGGTGAGTCTCAACTTTTAATATCTAACGAAAGGATTTAAAAAACCCATTAAAATATAGTCAGAAAAAAAATAGTATTACCCTCTAGTTCTTCCCCATTAGGAGATAGATACTTTCAGGGCTACAGCAGTCTCATTTTCAGCACTACTCTATTGAGGGCTCTATTATCTGGGGGGCTAGCAGTGAGAGAAAAGAAAGCAGGGACCAGACCAATTTAAGAAGTACAAGTTGCAACAGGAAATTCTCATTTAAGTCAGCAAATCAATGAAAAATACTCAGATAACAGAAAAAAAGAATCTGAATGTTTAGTTAGATTCCCAGAAATACACAGTCTGGTGTATAAATCTAATCCTACGTGCCGTCTTCATTGTATAATAGTAGGTTTCTCAACTACCTTGCAAAAGACTGTTATTCACATGGATTTAAACATTCTTTCAAAGACTTCAATACATGGGAAAGGAGAAAAGCTTTTGAAACTTCTTTTAACAATGCAGGTAGCTGTCACATTGATTTGTTTTGCTATTGCAGCACAAAGTTGAAGGGATGGCGAATGCATAATTTATATACCAAACATATAAATTTCGTAGAAAATAATCTTGACTGTATCCCAAGTTCCAAACATATTCCTCCATTTCCTCTGCTGGATGGATGAACAATGGCAGATGAATACTCCACAGGAAAAAAATCTGACAAATTGGTTCGACAGGTCACAGTCCAAGTATAATTAAAAAGAACCTTTCTGGAAGTCTCCAAAATTGTAGAGATTTTCCCTTCCAGAGTCAACTACATAAAGAAATCCCAACAGCTTCCAACACTTTAAGGCATGCATTTTAGCTGCTATAAGCATTTTTTGACAACCTCTGAACACAACTCCCATGATTCAAAAGGAAAAGCCACATTAATACACTGTATGAAATATAGCAAGTTGTGTAAGAAAGTCTGTCATAAAAGAGGCATGCTGAGGCACGCTGGGATTCTCCTCATGTAAGAGAAACTTTGGTCTGTAATTCATGCTAGCTTGACTAGCATGGCATTCCCTTTGTTTGTTTTAATTAAGAAAAATCTATAGCTTCCAGATCCAGACCTAGGGAAACTCTCAGGCAGTTTGCCTTCAGGAGTCAGTATCCTATTGTGCTAGTTTCAGAAGACATTTTCTAAAGCAGAGAAGTAAACTTCTCCAAAATTTCAGTGGAAACAACTCTTTCCCAGGGTTTGGTAAATGGGTTAGTAATTTTCCGCTTTTCCAAGACCACTGATCATTGCAGAGAACATGGGAGTGGGATGTAGGGGGGGGGAAGCTTCCTTTTACTTCTACACATCCTTTTTAAACACCTACTTTATTAGAGTTTCCCTCACCTTTTACAGGTATTTCCCACTTCCAAGGGCACAGAACTACACTTAGCGAGAGCTGGAAGCATAACCGCTGCTCACCCATGCCACCTCCTGAGGCAGGCCTTGCAGCCACAGCGTCTGGATAGTTCTTCCCTCTTCCAGTCCCAGCTGCCTTGCCATTTGTATGTCTTGTTAACGCTAGCACTTCCAAAGCTAGCCATTTAATACAGACAAAAAAGCCTTAAGAAAAAGAGGGATTGAGAACGCTTAACTCCTGAAAGCCATGACTAAAATAGAGTATTCATCTCAGCGACTGAGTAAAACACAACGTCTGTGCTTAACTGAAACTTTTTAATTAACCCCCCTGTGTTGTTCTCTTTGAAAGGACATGCCCAAGTCTGCTTTTGTATACTTAGGACAGTGCCTCTCTCTCCAATTACACAACGCATTAAACACAAATGAAATTACGCCTTAGTTCAGTACATTACAAATAAAATACAATCTTGAAGAAGAACAAACAAGTCCAGGAACTTTTTTAAAACTTTTTTTTTTTTTTTTTTGGGGGGGGGGGGGGGTGGGGGTGGCTTAGAGCGTGTTTAAAGATGGTTACTCCCCACAGATAATTTACAAGCATAGTTGGAGGCAATCGGGACTGATTGCTCTGTCTAGGAAATTCCTAATTGGAGCCGTGCTGCAGGAATTCGCAGGGGTCCTGTCCTGCCGGCTCCTCCCTGGGGTTTCCTCTCGCCCCGCGCCGCCTCGCGCAGCCCCCGCGCCCCATCGCTCTTCCCTGCAGCCCACAGTGCCAGTGTTCCCCCCCCCCCCCCCGCCCGGCAGGAAGGCCCCGGCGAAGGCGGGAGGAGGAGCAGCTCCGCTCCACATGCCTGCCTGCTCTTATCAACTTATCCTATAAGGGAAGGGAAGCGATCGATTCGGGCACCGAGGCCGTGACATCCTGGCACGGGCGAGGAGGAGCCAGGCTTACGGCTGGCGAGCCCGGCGGCCGGATCCGCCAGCAGCGAGGGGAGGAGGGGGCGGCGAAGACCTTTGCTTTCCGCATCTGACAGCTCGGGGCACGGCGGCCGGGAGAAGCCGGGACGTTTCCAGCTCGGAGGGTAGAAAAGCCCAGCCCGCCCCCTTGACGGCACATGGCAGCAGGGCGCTCGGTTTCAGCGCAGGTTAACTAGGTCCGTGCTCCCGTAGCGCCCCGCAGCACTAGGTTTGCTGGGCTACCGCAGGGATTAAAATGCAGCTGGCTCCTTACTTCTTTTGGGGCTGCAGTATTTTCTTAGCTTCAGGATACAACTCCTTTAGTAAGAGCATGGAGACGATGGGCAAGAAGCAGTACCAGGTCCAGCATGGGTCATGCAGCTATACCTTCCTTTTGCCTGAGACGGACAACTGCCGGTCTTCGACTTCTTATGTGTCCAATGCCGTGCAAAGGGATGCACCTTTAGACTATGATGATTCAGTTCAAAGACTGCAACTACTTGAAAACATCATGGAAAACAACACTCAGTGGCTAATGAAGGTAGGATAACACTATTTTTATCTTGTTATCTACTTCATTGTGGTTTTTTTTTTCCCCCTGTTTCTACATTCACAAAATGCATTAGCTAAAATAAACTTCTGAACTACCTCAGTCAGAAAGTTTGAGAACATAGTTTTACTGACTAGAAGGGAAAAGAGGACTGCACTGCTCTGCAGAGCCTGTGCCTTAAAGTTTCTCATTACATTTGGGTTGCCTGGACAAACAGTAATTCCATAGGCAGACTGGGAGCACGTCTGACATTTCTGACATGAAAGAACCACTACTAATTTATAATTAACTGATGAGGCCTATTTTATCTCTCTTTAAAGAAGACAGAATGCACCTTTATCAAAGGCATGTTTGAAGAATGTTATTTGAAACATGATTTCTAAACTGGCATGCAGAAATCAACATATTGGGTCCCACAGATAAAGAACTGTAATTCTAACTAAAGACTGGAAGTCTGACTTGCAGTGAAATGAGCCCAGTAAAGTGATGGAATTTCAAGAAAGTTCATTAGCGGATATCCTTTGCATCCTGTAACATTTCCACTCAAATACACAATATTGAAGGGAAAAATATTCTGGAAAAGGTGTTACAGATGCCACATAGCTTCCTTTAATGCAACTCTATTGCAACTAAGGGAAAATGACATGTTTATTGCCAAAGTGGAAACATTTGTAAAACTATGTCTGAAACAGTAGAAAAAAATTTATACTGCATACATTGTTAATATTACTGGAGAATAAACCTGATCACTATTCCACATTTTATAGATAGCACTTTGATTCTAAATGCTATATGGTTCAATAGGTTTTAAGAAACCTTTGTTTCACTGATACCTGAGAAAGCTTGAAAATATAGCTTAATGGCATGGGAAATTTATGAGTGTTTATGTTTCATACCAATATGCTCATCTTCTAAGCAATAACTATTTTGAGGACTTAACTGGGTGGTTGACATAGTACCTCCAAATAAGTGCTCCAGTGATGTCATAAGGGCTTTTTCATAAAGAAAAATACATTTGTTGCTAACGGAGAGAATTTGCAATTCTCTGCAACCAGTAGCCACTTCTTATATGACTATAAAATGATTTTGCATTAGGGTTCACCTCTCTCATGAGTTACAAAGTTACAGAACTAGCAAGATATAACCAAAGAAACCTGCTGGCGAATTTGTATAAGAAACAGAAGTCTCACTGTAAAGCAGAAAGCACAGGGTTTTCATCCACCTGAAGATGAATCTTGAAGCTTAAATTCAAAAGGCATACACTTGAAGGCTGAAGTGTGACCTATATTTATGGGTTTAGGATGCTTAATTTAGACACCCAAAAAATGACAGATCAGTGGCTTTTGTTTTTTTAATCTCACAGGCAAACATACTTCCCTCCACATACTTACTTACCTTTCTACTTACCAATTTACAATGCTCACTGTTGTAAAGACCAACATTAACAGATGTGTAATGCAGGATGAAAACCACACAAAGTAAAGCCGTCTAATCTACACAGCTGCTAAGCAATTTCCTAATATAAATAATGAAATCACACACAAGACTCCAGTGCTAAATGCCTCTTAAGTAGACAAACACAGTATCATAAGTGGCATCAGGTAAACAGAAACCAGTAAGCAAATTCCAGCATCCTTATTTAGTAAAAGCTATGCCTTTTCCTGTCAGTCCCTGGGAAATCAGTTACAAGAGGAATAGGATAACTATATCTAATTCATTCTTTGGGCAATCAAAAGGCATGATTCTGTTTTACTAGACAGAGAAATGTTTCTTTTATTTGAGCAAAGATTTCCAAAGAAGACATTTTAGAATAGCCTGTTTTGTTTTGTTTTTTTTTTCCCCTTGCTCTTTCTTCCACAGCTAAACATCCTGTGAAATAACTGCTGTTTGCCTTTTTCACTATTTTAACACCTGCTCTTTATGTCATCTGTTTTGTTCACAAAGAGACTCCAACAAAAGTAGCTTTTCCTCAGATTTGCTTTGCTAGAGACACCTGGTCTGCAAATGAAGATGAAAAGCAAACAATAACCTTTAAAGTTGCTTACAGAGTTTACTTGCTGTTTTTTTAAGGTCACTAATACACATTCCTAGGTTCGTATTTCAGCTATGATGCTGGGTTAGTCAAGGCAGAGCAAAAAAGTCTGTTTACTTAGTTTTCATACTGTGTCGAAGGTGTAATATGTTTGATTTAAAAAATGAAATTAATTTCTCAGCAACTGCACAAAAAACTGCTTTAGGTTTTACTTCTTTTAAAAGTTAGTTTTTGCTGATTTAAGAGGCAGCACCTCTTTTCTTTTGAATTTGTGTAAAAAAAGAAAATTACTAACTTTTAGTGTAAATTAACCTTGAAAAGTTGTTCCTGAAGTCCTGCACATCTCCACACATTTTTACACTCCTCCCCCTCTCCAGCCTTTAATTCGTCAGCTGGAGGAAACATTCTGTTTCTGAATGAACACTAGGCTGTATGAATGGAACAGCATGGGAAGTGTGCACTTCAGCTGGTTAATGGGCAAACACAATGGGAAGAGAATGAGTTACAGGTCCAGGTTCTCTTCTCATCTGCTCCTGTATAGAGAGCAGAGGACTTTGTTCTACTATTGCCACAACGTGCTGCTTCATGAAAACACATTTTTTTTGTCTGAACTGTATTAATACCTTATGCCACTGCTGTATGTACCACACCTAAAACTGGAGAATGCCTTTTCAAAAGTAGATTATATATAAAAGTATTCAGACGGAATACTAGAACAAACCACCGTTCCACCTAATCCAGTGTTTAGCAGTAAGCCAGTAAGTGATGGTGTAGAGCAAAAGCCAAAACCCTAGATCAAGTGTGCAGCAATATACCTGAAATTAACCTGAAATTCTTTTACTTTCCCTACCTTGGGATCAATTTGTATACTGAATTGTAAGATTTTTTTCTAATGTGTGTCTATGCATGAAGAATAAGCCTCTCAGTAATAAGATTTTCAGTTATTTTGAGAGGATAACAGATTCATATACAGCTGAGATACAAGACTGGAAATGTTAAATGTAGATGGATGTTGGCTATTATACTTCGGATTTCTTTTTTTAATATAAAAAACAACATCAGGTTTTCAGATATTCCCAGAAGACAGGCAAGTCCCTTAAGTTCCACAATTAAACAAATATCTCTCTGAATTAATGGCAGCTTTACCATTTGGATCATGGCAGCTCTGCTCAAGGAACTGCATTTTGTCAGGTATTAAGACATCGAAATAACTGAATGCTGACTTGAATTTAATTCTTAGTACATAAACTAGATTCTGACTCAGGAAATATGACTCTGTCCAAAGTAATAGTGTAAAAGAAAGAGGTCATATTTTCTTCATCTTTCCTGTTACAAACAGCTGAAAACAATGTGTGATTCAAATTGATTATAGCATACAGAATATAGGTAATTTATTTGTAGTTTATCTGCAGATCAAAAGACTAGAAAATAAAAGTCTGTGCCAGGAGTCAACATTTAAACCTGAGAACTTCATCCTGAAAGCAGACTAGGAGAGGGGATACTTTGCTGATAGGGATGCAGTATGTTTGGATACTCTCAGAATTGAGACTTGTTTTCCCTTGTCTTGATATCCTGGAAGCTAAAAACCCTTTATCACTTTGAAATGTGTTTCTTCCCTAAGCACAACAAAGTCAGATATTTTAAGATGTATGGGAATGAATGCTTATAATTTTTGATGAGCAATTACCAGTGAAAGCTTATAATTATTGTCATACTTGTACTGAACTTTGTATCTCAAATATGACAAGATATTCTGACATGCTGTCATCCAAAAACATCTGCACACAATGGGCAAGGACAAATATATTGTACAGTGCTGGATTTTGAAATACGCAAGAGATGATTCTGACTCAAGCTGCATTCCTTTCTTAAGTAATGCATCTGTTTTTACTTATTGTGAAAAGTGCTCGTTTCTGTCTATCAATCAACTATGTATTTGCTAAGCAAAAGAGTACTGGCAGAGTAAAAAAGAAAATACTTTTTTCTTTGAGATTAGTACATGTTACTGGATAAGGTTTCCACAGTACTTTAAATGATATGACTATGCAGTTTATTGTTATATCTCCTGTAGGTAAATTTCTGTGAAAGGATTTGAACTGACACTTTTGCATGTGTTTAAAAACTATGTTGTAAAGACTATTTCTGCATCATTCCACAAATACCAGATTGGTGATACAGGTATGGAACAGGTACAGGTATGAAACAGAAACAACAAAGAAGACTGGAGATTTTCTTGTACAGACCTACAAGACAAAATCGAAATTGAGAGCTTGCCATCTTCAAGATGTTATCAGTAAAAAACGTGATAAACAAAGGCTTGTTTTACCGAATCAGTCTCTTACCAGCATTCAAGATATAGTTTCATGTGCTTTGTTTGCTATTAACATGATCATAATCTTATCATCTTTGATCGGTTTAAACAGCAAATTGGGAGACTTTCTCCATTAATTATTGCCATCAAGTGCTTTATTTTCTTCTTTTTTCCCTTTCTTTAAGTGCACATGTAGGAAATGAGTCTGGAGATGCTTGAATTGACAGTTTCCAGTCCTCCTTATTCGTATGCCCACTTACTATATAAAAGTAAACCACATAACCTTTAGAATGTCTTAGAAGATTTTGCAGAGAGGCTGGGGTTTGGAATGGTGTTTCTTTTATACACAATGATCTTATTACTGCTCCTTTTTTTTTTTTTGTTAATTATGAAATAATTCAATAAAATGCATCTCCCCATAACTTAGCAGGGAAACAGCTGATACCATTTTCTTGATTCCTAATCACAAGGTGTGACCACACATGTATTGCTTAGAATAGAACTTTGCTTGGAAGATACAGATACCCATTTCCTCCCTTCAAAAGGTGCTATCTAGTATCTCCAGTGACTGAATTATACTGTCGCGTTCATACTACCATATTTGTGTTTTTGAAAATGTGCCACATTATATATGATTTGATTTACAAG